TATTGTGCCTTTCACATCAGGAGAACATCTCAAAACTCTTCATGGGATTTATTGTGAAGTGGAATGGCTGTGTATTTTTTGGCAAATGTGACAGCCCATTGGAACACAACAATGTCCCACAAACAGCCATGACCAATTGTAATTGGGAATTGTTGTGCAGGACACCAGGAGAAATATCTTCTTCTTTTGAATAGGGCCATGGGATTTTTAACATCCATTTGAATAGGCAAATAGGACCTCAGTTTCAACATCTCAGAAGGATGGCACCTCTGACAATGCAGTGATCCCCTAATGCTGTATTGAAGCATCAGTCAGGACAATGTGAATTCCAAGTCCTGACATAGGTCTTGAACTCACAATCCTCAGACTCAGAGGTGAGAGTGCTACTAATGGAGTCCTGTAGCTCAGTGGTTAGAGCACACGCCTCGCAAGCGAGAGATCTGGGTTCGATTCCCAGCAGAGTGAATCATTGGGCAAGGTTTCAGTACTCCACGCACCTCTGTTTACCTTGCGGTAAGTAGCAACCCAGTTGTTAGTCAAATAACGGATTGCTTTTCCAGGGGTAATAATTCCTTCAAAAAAAAATAATTGGTCACTCAATCCATGACTGTGGGACACTGCTGTGGGTAATTGGCTAATGCGTTTCGCCCACAAAATATACAGTCAATTCACTTTACAGTATATTCTGTGAAGCGCTTTGAGACGTCTCAAAGACATGATAAGGCGCTATATCAAATGCAAGGATTATTATTATTATTACTAACTGATCCAGGCTGACACACAATGTTTGTATTTGAAATAGTGCCTTATAATGTTGAAACATCTCAAAGTGTTGTGGCTGTTTTTCATATATTTTTATATATATATATATATATAAACAAATGCAGCAGCTAGTTTTTGTACAGCAAGGTTCCACAATCAACAAGGAAACTCCCTTCTCTTTGTGGACAGTGTGTTGGGATCTTTAACTTTCACCCAAACAGGGATACAGGAACTCTTCTCACATGGAGGACTGCACCTCTGACAATGCCACATTCCCCGAGGCCTTGGTTCCAGGTCATCAGAACCTAGATTTCACCTCTCTTTGCAGATTAGCCCAAGAAAGTAAATATTGAGCAAAATAAGAAACTTTAGAAGCCACTCTAAGGCTTACAATAGAAACTTAATTTGGTTCACTACATTAAGATGGTGGCAATTTGGTGTGAAAACGGAAGAGCCCACTTACCGGGAGGGTTGTGCAGCCACCTAGTTGTTGCTTATGCCAGCGTAAAGCAACACTAATAATGCTTACAAAATTGTAAACTTCATCCCTATTTATAGACTGTGCCATAATACAATGCTTTCCATTATGTAGTGACCTTTAACAGATGTAGACCAGTGAACAATAACAATCTGGAGTAAAGTAAATTGTTCAGTAATTCAGCTTTTAGGAATTGCATTGTTTTGTTGATAAGTTGTGCTAGGGACGGGGGTGGCTTTATTAAAGTGTTACCTACAGTATTGGTAAAAGTACAGCACCTCACCAAATGTGCAGTGATTTTCAATCTCCCCGTAGTAGTCACCTTCCACATAAGCAGAGCTTGGCATACACCATGGGCAAGAGTATCCAAACCAAGCTGAGATTTCCATTATCCCGCCTATACATGGAAATTCCAAAGATAGATTGTTGGAATTGAATGCACACTCTCTCCTTGGAGGGACACATCTCGCTTAGCTAATTAGGGAAAGAGCTAAGGCTTCGGGACCCCAGAGTGTGCATTCGGGTACTGCTGGAGTCTCACCAGCTAAAACTGCAAAGATTGCCATTGATATTACTGTTTGGCAAGCTTTCCCGTTGCTTGTCCAGCTAAAGCCACCCTACCTGTTAGGGCTTTGGCTTACAGGGTTAACAGGAGCTGAGTGGGACTCCCTGTTCCCAGTGACTGGTCTACCCTTCCAGGTCCTGCTGAGCCAGGCTGGCTGTGCTATCATCAGCAGTGCCCTGGAATACTGCAAGGCTCAGGAAGCGGACTACTGAGACCGCCAGAGAGGGTTAGCTCGATTCTGTTGCCAAACATTTCACCCCGGAGCCAGTTCAGCTCCAAGGTGAACCCACTTACCTCCCCCCCCACCCAAGGAGGATAGCCACCAGTTGGTTATTCAACGTCCAACAAGCGCAGGTTTGAGCCCTCACTAGGTGAATGGTAGGTACCAGGAACTTCCTGCGAACTTCCCGTTGGGCAATACAGCTCAGCATGAAATGGGTGAGAGCATTGCCACTGTCTTCCTGTCCACATCTCAGGCACACGTCCCTTTCTATTGAGTGATGGCTCCACCAATTGGAAGTGCAGAGTTTAAGCAGCAGCTGTTTACCTCTCTGAAGGCCAACCAAGGTGGATTCCAGCGCTGGACTCACAAATGCGTGTTCACAAACCAGGACTCTAGGTAACACCTTCCAGGGACTGTCGCCCCAAGCCTCATAGTTTCCTCAACAGCTATCTGGCAGACATCTTCCTTCAGGGTGGTGTCTGGAACTGAACATGAAAATGTTGCAAAGGAAATGTTTACCTTACATTAAGCAATGGTTCTTTTGGAGTTTTGGCTTCCTGTGCTGTTTTTAAGAGTTTTATGATGGCACTGCAGGATTAAATGGCTCCATTATCAGCTACACAATGCAAATTGCAAAATGTTGACAATTTTTAATCAAAGCTCTTTATCATGTTCTTAACTTGCTAACTGTGTTTGAAGATACATAGTATCGTAGAGCACTTTGACACATCCTCCTGATGTGAAAGGCTCTCTATAACTGTAAGTTGTATTTTCTTGTAAAGTGGTTCCAGTCTATTTTGTAAATGTGTCACTTACCTTGTAATAATAGATTAGAATTATGCTTCTGTACAGAAAACAATATGCACGGGCAGCATTCATTGTTTCACAATTCCTATATTCTAGTAGTTTATGCAGAGACACAGCAGTGGGACTTATCTCACCGATTCCCGTGGCCAAGCTCACATACATACAGTAGTTACCTGGAAAGATGCCTTTGTATGTAGATGTTAAAAGAATCATTACCAAACTGAAATCCTGGGGAAGTACAGTTCAGAAAGTGGAGTCGGTGGAGACCTGATGATCTGGAAGTCAGCTCAGTAAAAATGACCAACATCTGGATCATCACATCACTGCTGTGATGCCACTTCCGAGTTTTGCACATAGGAAGTGATGTTGGCTGCAACCTGATGACCTGGAAGTTGAAAATTTTCTAGCACAGGAATTAGCCAGTGAGCAAAGGAGGGCATGCGCAGTGAAACCAGCTATCGCACCTCCTTTTAGTGTAGGTTCAAATTGATTTGATGCGCTGCGATACAGTGGCCCCCACTGTACTTGTAAAGAGAAGGGACTTTCTCATGGTGTCCTGGCACACAATCGTTCAGTCAAATTGTCATTCACCTTTAAGTGCTCCAAAACACTACCCACATGAAGAGCGCTATATAAATGCATGTTGTTATTGCTGTTGTAGCTGTTTGTGAGACTTTGCTGCGTGTAAAATGGTTGCCATCTTTACCTACAAAAAATAATCAGTACAAATGACAGGTATGATCTATGCAGAACTTTGAGAGGATTTGATGTTACTAGTGCTGTGAAAAAATATTATACCCGAGTCAACTAATTAGCTTTATTAGTTGCTGCATCAACTAATAAAGCTAAAACAATCAATTCTACAGAGCTGAATAGTAAACTGCAACATTCTCTGGCACTGAGTCAAAAAAGATGATCTCTTCCAGAGAGTAGGCCTATTGCAAACTTCATGTGATTTCAACTACATAGCTGAGTTCCCCAAAGAGCATGTCATGTGGTTTTCCCTTGCTTGCGCTCAATTTAAAATTCATCTCGGTGGGCTTCCTGAGGTTACACTGCTGACCTGAGGTAGGAAGATTCATTGAAATACATGCTTGTTGCTTGCAACTTTCTATCTTTGTTAAAATATCCAGGGGGCAAAAACACACAGGAATACCTCCTTGTTAAGCTTACAATGTACAATTGGCTCAATGACATAATGGCAAGCTTAATTGAATACAGAGGGATCAGTGCTTGGTAGAAATGTATTGATTATTGATGAGACTTAATTTAGAACAGAACAATTGAACTCTTTTTAAAAAAAAGTATTACTTTCTGAATGTGAGGTTACTGCTAATACGAGTAACAAAAGTAATCAATGTTAAAATGGCTTATTCCAAAATTAGTGCTATATAAAAGTGGGGGGATATGTTAGGGGAGGTGAGCTGGTGGAAGTCTACATAACAACAACAACAAAAACAAATTGCATTTGTATAGCCTTTCACATCACAGTCACTCCACTTTGCAATATATCATTTGAAACATTTTGGGATGTCCTCCTGTTGTGTAAGGATCAATATTTATTATTTAACTGGCGGTGAATTGCTACGTTTTGAAAACAGGAAGTTCAGTACCATTGCTCCATATTTACCATCGACATTGAGACATTGGAGCTGTTCATCTCTGACAATAACCAGGGAATATTTGATATGATAAACATCACACGAACCAGGAACTTTGTGGGTAAGCACATAGTTTGAATAATTGGAAATCACAAGTACACACAGCCACAGTGCCAACTGAGAAGATACACTTTTACTATAGTGCAGTTCTGTGTCAGATCCTCTCTCTAAATTTCTATTTCAATCTGTGACTTTCTCTATATCTCCCTCTATTTTGTTCCCTAACTCTAACTGAATTCTTGGCAACCTCATGTACATGTATACAACTTTGAACATGCACACAACCCAATTTTGTTTTGCTAATATCTCACATCTACTTCTGCATCAGAGCCAGGTGTGACTAATTGAACATTTGAATAATCCCAGCACCTTGGAACGTCCTCCCGATGTGAAAGGCACTATATATAAATAAAATTTGTTTTGGTTGCCGTGAGGATAACCAGCTTTCTGCTATTGCTGGATTGACCCCATTTAACTCAGTTGTACTCTGCTGTATTTCAGAAGAATATTTACCAGGTTTTTGCCCAGCGGTCACTGATTTCATCTGTCAAAATGGTCAGTGTATCAAGTCCGACCTGGTTTGTGACTACAAGCCAGACTGTGACGATGAATCGGATGAATCTGACTGTTGTAAGTAGTCTTAACGTTATTGCTACACAATGCACCTGTTATTCTCATCAGATTTCCAATATAATTCATTGGGTTATATTATATACGTGAAAAGCGCTATATCAAATGCAAGGATTATTATTATTATTATTACAATGCAAAATTACATTTGCAAAGCGCCTTTCAGATCGGAAAGACGTCCTAAGGCACTGAATAGTCAGGGATTAAGACCCGAGCAGGGTGGGAGGTCGTTTGGGATCAGGGAGGATGGAGGGCAGAGAGTATAGAAGCATGGCCAAAGGCACAGTCGAAGAGGAGGGTCTTGAGGTGTGCCTTGAAAGAGGCAAGGGAGGGAGTGAGGCGAAGGGAATGTGGGACGGAGTTCCAAAGGGTGGGGCAGAGAGGCTTAAGGCCCAACCACCGATGGTGGGGCGGGTTGGTTGGGAGTCATGAAGCAGGCTGGAACCTGCTGAGCGGAGGGAGCGAACAGGTTGAAAAGGGGTTAGCAGGTCAGATAGGTAGGAGGGGGCAAGGCCATGGAGGGCCTTGAAGGTGAGCATGAGAATTTTTAACTTGATCATCTGAGGGATGGGGAGCCAGTGGAGCCAGACGAGGGTGGGTGTGATGGGATCACAGAGCCTGGTGCAGGAGAGGACACAAGTGGCAGAGTTCTGGGTGATCTGCAGCTTGTGGAGAGAAGAATTGGGAAGGCTGACAGGCAGGGCATTCGCATAGTCGAGCCTGGTTGTAATGTGGGCATGTATGAGGGTTTCGGCAGCCTTAGGAGTGAGGCAGTGGCGGAGTTGGCCAATGTTGAGAAGGTGGGGGAAGGCAGAGCAGGTTATGACATGGATGTGGGGGAGAAAGGACGGTTGAGGGTCAAACAAAATGCCAAGGTTCCTGACTGGCTCAGTGAGGTGGAGTGGGCATCCTTGGATACTGATGCTGTCAGTGCCTGCGGTGAGGAGGCACTGACGCAAGCCAATCAGAAAAACCTTGGTCTTACTGACGTTCAACTGTAGAAAGTTAGCTCTCATCCAGGACTTGATGGCAGTCTGTCAGGACTTCAGTGGTCCTGGAGTCGAGGGTGGAGGCAGAGAGATAGAGTTGGCTGTCATCCGCATACACGTGGAAGTTGACCCCATGTCTGCAAATTATGTCACCAAGAAGGAGCATGTACAGATTGAAGAGGAGAGGACCAAGGACAGAGTCCTAAGGAACACCCTGCGGAACCATGAAAATTCCACATCAGATTCTCAGACACAAAAGACTAATGTCTTTTCTGTTTCTTTGCACTTCAATGCGTCTTTCAGTTGTTCACATATAAACATTTGAACCATAATATTGAAACTCTAAATGCAAATCACTGCTGGATAAAGCAGCTGCACTTTGAAGAAAAAGTGCTGTATCCACGGAATAAATTGTGACCTCCTTCTTGTCTCTGAAGTTTCATTAGTGAAGATTTTTCAACCTTGTAAGCTCTGTTGACTCTGCATATGAAGATGCACATACGACATTGATGTGAAAAATATATCAAGACAGTTTAATTTTCCATGCACTGTGATCCATTACATATTCAGAAGTTGCTGATGGCAGCTGATGGCAGCTTCTGACTTTGATGAAACGGCTTCTTAAGTACTTAAATTATTAAAATGGGGACAATTTAGCTGCTTCTATTAAAATAAAAGCTCTTCTCTCCAACTTTGTCAGATAGGAGACGTCAATTAGGGCGGACTTGATAGACCCAATAGTCTGCTTCTGTTTATGTTTCTAGTCAATAGTTTTATTCTTTTGGCAGATTTATACCTCAAAACTTCTAATGGTGCCTAATATGTAGGTTTTCTGATTCCTTAAATAAGGAATCTGAAAATGAGACTTATGAAGCAGCCCATAGAGATTCCTAATACAGACCAGTCAACCTAGCTCAATGGCAGGATTTGAACGAATAGGACCTGTCTCTGGGGCCTGAGGTTCTTCATACTTGACTCCTTATAACCCCGCAAGCCAAAGCCATCATGGGTAAAGAGTAGTCCTAGCTAGACAAGCAATGGGAAGCTTGCCAATGTTTACAATGGTGTGTTTAAAAAAAAGAATAATAATTTGGTCACTCAATTCACCACTGTTTGTGGGACACTGCTGTGCACAACTGGCTGCTGCGTTTTGCCCACAAATATACAATCAATTCACTTTACAGTATATTCTGTGAAGCGCTTTGAGACATCTCGAAGATGTAAAAAGTGCTATATCAAATGCAAGGATTATTATTTATTATCACTACACTTCTGGTATGATCATGCTGTAAATGAACCTGCACTATACTGAAAATATTATAGCAGAGTCACCTGTACACAGAACTCAATAGGGTTGTTTTGAAAACTCTTCAGAATCATAATGGGTTTCTGCATATATCAGACACCTGGCAGGAGAAAAGACTCCTGGGAACTCTGCTGTGGCACAATCCACTTTTGGAGCAAACTTTAGGTTGACTTGCAGGTCAGTGTGATGTGCGTGATGTATTTCCATTTATCATAAAATTTATCATAAAATATATCCATTTATCACTATGATTCCCAGGACAGTTATTCTTCCATGGTAACTGATAAGCAATTAAACAGTCACTCCTCTTTCTTTCTCCCTATTCCTGTCTGATTTGTGGGGTGATCTGCCTCCAATTGTCTGGCTATGGCGCTCAGTGACTGACCAGTAGGTCATTCACAAGCATAAAGCAGAGCCCTCCCTGTGGGGAATAGCTCAACCTCCACTTGCCACATCCCTATGAATGGGTATGCCTCAGACCACACCACAGCGACCACACCTCAGTGACTGCACCACAGTGACTACACCACAGACGACACTACAAGTGACCACAGAGCAGTGACCACACACCACCGTTGTAAAGGATGGGTGATTGGATTTAAATTTCATATGGATTGATTTGAATCACAAGTTGCACTTTCTAACCATTTTTTTATTGTGACCATTTTCCTTCTTCAGCACAGTTTGTGAACATTCCAGGAAGCTGTAGCTTTGATGGGCCTGACACAGGATTCTGCATTTCTGACTGTGGCTTGGTGCAAAACACTGACGATGACTTTAACTGGACAATTGGGTATGAAACCATCTCCACGGAAACCGGTCCCATCACCGACCACACGCCTGGTAAATACTTATAGTTTAAAAATCCATAAAATTGTATCTAGGAGATCCAAAGGAAAAATTGACTATTTTCAATGAATAATAATCTGGATGGAAGGAGGTAAATTCTCCTGCAGTTTGTCCTTCAATGGTGTCAGCCTGACACAGTTGACAGCACTCTGGTTTCTAAGTCAGAAGGTTGTGGGTTCAAGCCTGATGCTGGGACTTTGAACTCACAGTCTTGACCTACACTCCAATACAGTGCTGGGACAGTGCTGCATCACTGGAGGTGCTGTCCTTCAGATGAGCCATTAAACCAAGGTCCTGTTGCTTGTTCAGGTGGATAGTAAAGATCCCCTGGCACTATTGGAAAGAGGAGGGTGTTTCTTCCAGGCAAACACTCCTCCAGATACAATTATTCATTCACTTCATGGCTATTTGTGGGACATTGCTATGTGCAAAATTGGCTGTTGTGTTTGGTTTACACTTTACAGTAAATCCTGTGAAGCGCTTTAGAGACATCCTGTGGATGTGAATGTTGTCATATCAAATGCAAGGTTGATTTATTTTATTCTTCATTCTTTCTATTAAACAGAAGCCCTTAGGATAGTTATCACATTACACTCACAATTGTTGACCCTTCCTTCCAGCAAATTACAAGATGGTTATAGTTGCATATAAAGTTCTTGTTGTTGTTCATACACAAACATTTGTTTAAGCACTCTGGGATGCTACCCTGCATAAGGGGCACTATATAAATGCAAGTTGTTGTTGTTATAGTGACTTCTCTGAAATACAGTCAAAAAGATTACCTCAATAGTATGGAATGCTGGATGAGCAAACCAACCCTGAATGTACTTTGCCTCATGGTTATAATCTCTGCATCTGGCAATAAAAAGCTGCTCACAATCTCCCAGAGCAGCTAATGGTATACCTTTTCCTTCAATTTATTTTATCTGTAGATGATCTTCGTACCTCTCTTTGAATCCTCTTTAGGTTACCCTTGGAGCATTGACTATAATAATTTTTATGGAGAGCCTAGGTGAGGGACCAAGGCCCACAGTGTAAGCAATCACTAAGGTTGAATGGAGTAATAGACTGGCTGAGATCAATCAGGAAACAGTGAAAAACCTGCACTCTGTAGATTTTTTTTCATCCGACAGGTATCTGCCACATGCAGAAACCCATCACCGTGCTTCAGAGTATCCAACCCAGACCGAAAATTCCATGCATGCCAACTACACATGGAGATTTCCATGTTTGGAATGCAATACACACTCTCTCCCCAGAAGGACTTATCCAGTTACCCAATTCTGGAGAGTATTAGACACAAGTTTGCAAGAGTCAAGTTTGGGGAATGTGTGCGTTGGGGTACTGCTGCAGTACCAGCTTGCCATTCCAAGAACTGCCTGCCAACCTTTTGCACTGTTTGTCCAGCTAGCCCTAGCCTACCCATCAGGGCTTTAGCTTATAGGGTTGACATGGTTTGAATGGGAAGATCCTTGCATGGGTAGTTTTACATCGGGCTTTAGTTTTTTTTTGTTAAACAATGCTTTCCTAATGTCACTACACACCATTCTTGTTGAACCTCAAACTGTTTAATGCACTAGAGATGCTAGAGAAATGGCTTGTTTAAAGAATTGCTGTGAACAAGACTTCAGAGAACAATTCCCAGACAATAACTTGTTGAGGAAATCCTAGTCTGCCTGATGAGCCACAAGGTATTAAGGTTCTCAGGAAATTTTTCAAATTATCAAATTATAGTTACCAGGTGCAAACACTCAGCTGGTAACAGTGTTAAAACTGTCTTAACATTGCCTTGGACTCCCCCCGACTTGAAAGGTCTCTATAAGAATGTAATTTTGTATTGTATTAACAGAAAAGGAAGTCAGACTTTCAACAACAACGACGACAACTTGCCTTTATATAGCACCCTTCACTCCTTAGAGCATTTTGCAGGGATGGAGTTGGATGCTGATTCCAGGGGGTGGGGAAGAGGTGGACGGAGGCATTGCCATAGCTGCATTCATTGTGGTAGGTGTAAGATTTGAGGAAGGACTTAAAGACAGAGTGAGAGGGGCTGAGATTAGTGGGATAGGAACTGCAATGGTGGTGCAGACAAAGTCCAAGTTAACTGGGGGAATGAGCAGAAGATTAGAGTAGGAGAAGATTGGAGAGATATGGAGGTGCCAGGGAAAGATTTGTACGTGTTTCAAAACATGTCATTGTCTGGGAAATATTCTCTCAAGTTTCGCTCGTACCTTGCTGTGAATGAGACAAATGTGTTTACATTGTTTTGCTATAATCAAACCATTTTGAGTCTGAAATGCTGCATCCAGCTCACAAATTGAACAGGTCAAGGTTTAAAAAAACATTGACAGTGCAAAACCTGTCTGGGAAATATGCTTAATTGGGAAGGGAAAACAGACCCAGAGGCAGACACATGTCAAGCTGAGGGCAGGAATGGGAGAGAGAGAGAGAGAGAGAGAGAGAAAACATTACTTGGCAAAGAAAGTCTGTATTTTAAAGAGATCCTCGTCTGAAACCATCATTAGGCAAGCTTTCAGTCATTCTGCTCCAGCTCTCTGGAACTGTATCACAAGCTCCTCCATCTTCACCCTTCTCTTCCCAGTTTTAAAACCCACCTTAAGACCTATTCTTTTGACAGTGCTTTTGGTCACCTTTCCCCACTTCCCCTCAGCTTTGCCCCAGTTCAGTCTCCAAGTCAGCTGTGTGAAGCACTTTGAGGTGTTCCTCCCAACATGAAAGGCACTATATAATTGTAAATTGTTGTTATTTCAAACCACTGAAGAACTTGGTAAAATCTCTGTATAAAGTTTCTTTTATTTTCATGTAATCCTTTAGATTCTACATAGTAATACATTCTATAATGTATTTTATCTAAGTAATTTATCAATTAACTTTTATAAATTGTTACCACTTGAGAGTTTGTTGATACTTTGCCTCATAAGGAAGAAATGACAATAATTGTTCTCATTTTTCTATTGTCCAATCCTGGTACTTTTAAATTTATACAATCGGGAACTGAGAGCACTTCATATGTGCTGGAGACCGATGACCTTGGATTCAGCTGAAAATGATAGCTTAAAAAAAGGTGATTAGAGAATGCATTTGGTTAGAAAAAGAAGATTCTTTACATTTGATATAAGGGCCTGTCACGTTGGGAGAATGTCTCAAAGCAGTTCACAGGATTTACTGTAGTGTTTAGTATGTAATAACTATATTTTGTAAGCAAATGTGGCAATCAATTTTCACATAGCAATGACCCACATTGAGCCTTGAAGTGAACACACAATTTTATTCAGGGAATTATCTGTCAGGAGACTGGGAAAATAGTACTGTGCGTCCTTTGATATCATCTAAACAGGCAGATAGGACCTCGGTTAAACAATTCATTCAAAGACAACACCTCCAACAATTCAACACTCCCCTCAGTACTGGACTGCAATGCCAGCCTAGACTTTGTGAATTCAAAGTCCCCGACATGGGGCTTGAACCACGACCTTCTGTCTCAGAGGCAAGAGTGCTACCAACTGAGTCAGGCTGACACTGTCTGGTTAATGGAGCCAGAGAAATCTGGTTGATTTACCCTGTATCAGATCTCATCTCTGACCTCTGTATTTACTTGTCTGCTCCGAAATATTTTATGAACATTTTCACAGTGCATTACCAATCTTGTATAAGGTTTGCCTCAATGCACTCAGTGAGGCAGAGCAACTTGTAAACATTCTGATATTTAAATTTGAATTGATTCTTTTCTTTGCTGTAGTGAATGAAAGTGACGACATTTCACTTGATGTTTGACAATACACAGCTTTTAAAACTGTCCGGAGATGACATTCAACCCATGACTACAATTCAGCCTGTCACTTTCATATATATTTCCACATATTAAACTATACTTATTCATCATATAAAACATCTTCAAGTAACTTAACACCGTCCCATATGTAACCCAAATTGTGTTATATCCAGTACTACTGGAAATTGTTTTCACAGTTCACCCTATTGTCAACCCCAAAAGTCTTTCACCACAGTTGACACTGTAAGCATACCATGACAAGTGCAATCCATCATTGAAAAACTATATTCAATAAGCACTTCAATATAATCTTCTAATGCTTCAAGAAAAGTTTCTCTTTGTTGTGGAATGTGAGTGTGTGAAGAGCGCATCACAACCTAACTGTACAACAAGGTGCAGTAGCTGTTTATCAAAGTTCAATGGTTTGTAGCAGGTCATGTTGAACATTTTCACTCTCCTTACTGACCATAGATACATTTAATAAACTCCTGATAACTCGACCCTGGCTTACCGTGTCACTATCACTTAAGTCATTATCCTGTCAATATCCCGGCTGCATTTATTTATATATTTATATATATGCCTAATTCGCCACTCCAGATAGTTTGTCACTAAGTCTTTTTCCCTTGGAGTGACAAGTCATCAGGAGTTTACTATATATTTCCACCACAGGGTGCTTAGTTTGTAATGTATCTGTACTCTCCATCTTCGGATGAAAAATGTGATCTCCCTTTGCATTTTTCCAACGTGTCAGTTTTCGTATGGTCATTATCTTTCTGAGCTTTCCTCTTGTTCCTCCCACACTGTGGCTCTGTTACTTTCAGACATGCTCAGGAAAGGGATGAGTGTTCAGTTCTGTACAGGGGACAACCGAGGTTGAAAAGGGTAGGAGAGAAGGTTTAATAAATCTAGCAGTGGTTTGTATGTAAACTTAGGTTTTAATAACATGTGATAGATAGAGATAGATAGATTTCTTATTGATAAAGGGATTAAAGGATATGGGGATGAGGCAGGGTCAGGTTATTAGCTGTAGTTAGATTAGAAGATCAGCCATGATTGAATGGCGGGGCAGGCTCGACGGGCCGAATGGCCTACTCCTGCTCCTACATGTTATGTTATGTGGATTGAAGGAAGAATTACAGAGTGAGGGAGACAAAGAGATCCCATAGTTCTGATGTCTGAGAAGGAGTAGGATCAGTTA